CTAATCCTCCTCTTGAACCAAAACAAGTTTCCCACATTAAATGTACTATTATTAATAAACTGTAAAAGACATCAAATATAAAAAAAATATCAGCAAATAGACATTAGAAGGCATCAGAAAAGCAGGTAGAAAATCTGAATCTATGTCACCGATTTGGAGCTAACGACACCTCCAAAACATCCATATGCAGAAATTGTCATGAAGGTGATGTAGGCTAGGAACCAGTTTTAGTAGTTTAAATTGCTGGAGAAATTATTCAGAATAGAATTTAGCCAAATAATAACGAAACACAAATGACCTATTCGACTGAATCTGAAATGTCTAAGATTGTAAATGACCAATGTTTATTGGAGTTATATGTGTTACTAACTCCTTATTCTCATGTTGCTCTATGTACCCTGTAAATTGTTGGTTCAGAAGAACCTGTATAGTGTTTCCAAGTTATATACTTTTTCTAAGTTTAATAGGATTGTAGTTTTTCTCTATCAAAGACAAAGATTGATCCTAATATATGCAATGTTATACTATGGCTAGTAAAATAAGATTTATCATACTATCCAACCTCTTGCCTGAAATATGAATAAAGAATAGGTTATCAACAATTATATGCAAACCTTATACATTTTCCCAATTCTGAAACTCCTATAATTCCTTATTAAATTAACATACAATGTTGAGCCAAGTCTTAAAACTATACAGTATTAGAATAATCAAGCAGTTAAGAGTTTTGTGTTTTCATAGTATCCAGGAAAATTAAAGCAGCCCGCCACTGAAACTGAAACTACTTTTTGAAAGTCATGGATTCAATTATAACAGTTCTGACTTCAGATTATAACATTCTTGCCCATGCTTACATTTAATAGAAAATAATAATTTCTCAAGAAGATAAAAGTATAGCTTAATATTAGTTTGTATGTTACATGTCCTATGGCATTTTAGTTTCTCTTTAGAAATGAAAACAGTTGGCTAATACTGTGTTTCCCCAAAAATAAGACCCTGTCTTATATTTTTTTGAAATATAAGCGCTTGTTTGCCTTATTGCCATGCGCTCAAAAGCCCGATTGGGCTTATTATCAGGGGATGTCTTATTTTGGGGGAAACAGGGTATGACTCCATGTTCCATCCAAGTTTAAGACCTCATCCAAGCTATTTCTACATAACACAGAGATACTCTAGATTAGTCATACAGGTGACTGCAATTCAGCCACACTCCATAAATGTCATTGCAAGACACTTGTATTTTAGTGTCTACAGCAATTTACCCTGGTTGCTTATGGGAAATTATAGTTTGGCCTCCTCCATGAACTGGTTTCTAGACAACCAGTGCAAAAGTGATCACACTTTGGGGGGAAAACATCTAGTGAATTAGATTCTCGAATGTGAACCATGGCACAAAATATTTCACTTTAAAGGAAAATGTAATCATTATGAATTTGCAGTATATATCTTGACTTATTAAATTACCAAATTAGATGTTCTTATAGGACCTTTTAAATTCTTGGTTTATGGTACACTGTGGATTCAAGGATTAACTTTAAATTGACATGTGAATTAACCCTTTCTAACAGAGTAATTAAGTTTTCTGTTGTTTCTTCAGCTCAGTGATTGTCAAAAATGATGTCTCCTATACACTAGAGATATTTTTCATTAATAACATGTAAAAGTATTAACTTTTCCATCTTATCCATACCCACTGAAAAATCCAAATTACTTTTTTTTGGGCAATGAAACAATGGCTTGGTATTCATAATCATTTATGGGTATGTTGGGCTAGAGAGTCTCAAGTATGTTACCTTTCATTATATACAGAGTTTATGAAATCATTCAGCTCTGTCAAAGAAATAACTGTAACTTATCTTTATTATGCTTATCAACATATCAGCAAATGTCATAGTATCAGTTTGCAACAACAGGAAATGCCTCTAATGTGGTAACCTTTACATGCTCCCTGGGGCAATTTCATTTCTTTCAGTGCAAAAAGTACCCTGAACTTTTACCCAAATATGAAAGGTTCCAGAACTACAAAAAATAAGTAAAGCATACCTGAACAGCACAGTAAGCTAGAGAAATTGTCTACTTGGTTTTTCAAGATGAAGTATCCGGCCCATTTTCAGAAGTAACTTCCAAGGCTGTTTTTCTCTCCTAACAAATTTCAACTCCCTATTCTACCTGCTAGAGTTCATGGACTGGGTAACGTATCATCCCATGGTCCTTTGCCAATGATTTCCATTGCCTCACATCAATTAACTTGTTCTAAGTTTTCCTGGTTTACATTCACTTTTGCATAACAGAATTCACTTATCAGTGATGCTTTTTTTGTTGCCTCTGAGCAGATAATTATATTACTTGTTTCCACTACCCAATACCACTACTATAATTATATAGGGTATTATGATTTTAGAAATTTAATTCACAAGAAATTTAAAATTGGGATGGATACACACACACACACACACACACCACTCAAGGTTGATTCTTTGTGACCAAAAGCTCCTCCAATTTTTTTGGGATGAGCTTTTGGTCACAAAGGCTTCCAGGTTTTCAATGATCCAGGCCAAAATGTGATCAAGAATAGGGTTCTACAAAAATCAAACTAAATCTTCACAAATAAACCACACAAGTTAGACTAAACAAGAAGCACAACAACAATTTAGTCTGAAACCATAATTATTTATGCTTTTCAAAGAGTTTCATGATATGTTATTGCACAAATTGGATACTAGCAGAGAATTGTGAAGGCTGTATATAACACCACATAAGCCAATCCCAACCTCAATGAATAACATCAGATTCAACCCAGGAACAGCTGAGAATTCCAGGAATCCAACTTACCATCAACATCCACAATATTTCCAAACAAACAAAATCACTCAGTGCTACTACAGTTTGACAAACCAATACAGCATTTTTTTGCACTCAGCAGCCGAATTACTTGCTAAACATTTTTTTTATAATAGTCAAAAACCATATTGATTGACACACTACTTTTTAGTAACATTTTTGTCATAAAAGCAGGGTTTATATATGCTAGTACCTATCCAGATTAGAGAATTAAGTAAATTCTATTACTTACTGCTGTCAGATATGTAGTGAAATTTATTTCCCTAGCATTATTGTGAATTATCTACATTGCATAATTTTATTAATGTTTAGTCAAAAGTAAGTCCCACTGTATTTTTTATTATTTATATCAGGCAAAAATGGATTGCAGCTTTGCATTGCCTAACCAAACATAATGGCATTTATTTCTGAGAAGCACTAATAGATTCACCATGAATTTCTCCTCAAAGTTATTGGCATCAAGGAGCTTTTCCATTCTCTGCTCTTACAATTCATAACTATTCTGAATTATATCATTACAGCTGCTAGCATTATTTATGGTGGCATTTATATTTAACATAAGAAACTCAGACAAAAGATAAGAAACAGGTCACACTAGAATTAGTAATACTGAGGCAAAGATGGCAATTATGAGTTTTTTAAAAATTTCGTTTGGTTGGGGGCAATGGAGAAAATATAATATATATTAGGACAAGGAAAGCATTTGAAGATCATATATTTCAAGAAGGGACGGAAACAGAAACAAATGTACTTACATGCCACAATATTTAAATGATTATGTGGGGGAAACGTAATTTTGCTTCCCTGAAGATAAATCCTAAAGGAATCAATTCACCCCATTAAGATCAATAATGACACTTTAAGGTTCAGGCTTGTCCAATTTAAATCTTCAACCAGCAGTCTCCTAAAAATAATGGGGCACACTGAGGCACAATTTACAGTTTTGGAAAAACAAGGGCCTTTGGATCCTAACTTGTCCAAAGTTAGGAGAGCTAACTATCTTCTTCATGTATCCTGAATACCAAACATTGAAATAATGGTTGAAGGATTGCAAATGGATTTTATTGGTGATACAGGATTATCAAATGCACACATACCAGAGACACAACCTGTGCTAGTGTTTTTTAAGTACAGTACAGAGCAAAAGTCAGCTCACCCAGAGATATTTTTTTTACCCATCACAAATTCTGGAAGAAGAAGAAGAAGAAGAAAAAAAAAAGGGGGGGGGGGGTAGGGAAGCACTACCAAATCCAGTGATATCTTAAAAGGCCACCGAATTGCCTGGAACCTCAATTTTACTAGTACATCGCTGATCTTGAGCAGCAATGACTTCTCTACCAACTGTAACAGCATCAGCAATCATAATGGCATTTAACAAAAAAAAAAAAAAAAAAAAACAAGCAAGCAAGCAAGCAAGCTCCGAAAGAGAAATAAATGGACGAATGCCAAAACGGATCTCATTCCTTTTGGAAAAGGTACTAAAAGGGAGAGGGGGGGGGAAGGGGGGGGGGGGGGGGTCGCGAGAAAGGAAGGGAGGAAAGGGGGGGGAAAAAAAAAAGAAAAAAGAGAGACCCGGTGGAAACTGGCTATCACGAAGGCAAGGAAAAGAGGGAGAAGAGAGATGGGCCGTCCATGCACCACCAGCAGCAGCAGCAGCGCGCAAAGGGAAGGAAGGGAGAGGAAAAAAAAAAAAAAAAAGGAGGCGGCGGCGGCGGCGAATCCGATCCAGCGGACCGGGCCTATTCTGAAGCCAGCAGCCGGGAGAGGTTGCGGCGGGCAGAAGTTTGGGGCTCCGAAACGGGGAGAAAAAAAAAAGGGCGACGGGGGGGGGGGGGGGGATCAGGGTGGGGTCGGGCGGCGGGGAGGGGACGAGGGCGGGGCGGGACGGACGGGAGGCCGAGCGGGGTTCCGCCCGAGGCGAAGCCGGAGAGCCGGACAGGGGCGGGGCCTGACGAGGCAACCCGGCTCGTTGGGCGAAGCTGCCCGCCGCAGCCCCCCGGCTGTTGAGGTTGAAGGGAAAAGCGGGCGGGAAGAGGCTGAGGCAGCCCCGGAGGCTCTCCCGCCTGCCCCGCTCCCGCTCCCTTCTTCGCGCTGGGAAGGGCCCTAAGGTGAACGGGAGGGCGGGAGGCGAGGGAGAGACAGCCGGGCGGGTCTCTTACCTGAGGAGGCGGCTGCGGCCCGCGGCGTGTTTCAAAGCTGGGGCTGAGGAGAAGCGCGCTGGGGGCGGGGCGCGGCAGGCGGGCGTCTTGCGCCCCCACCCCCAGCGCAAGGGGCGTTCTCCGGCGGCTGCTCCGGCGCCGGGATTTCCCAGTAATGCAACAAAAAATGGCGACCACAACAAACCGCCTCCGCTGTCGCCGCTAAGCGCATGCGCCCCGCCGGCGTAGCCACGTGAGGCAGCGGGCCGGGAGAAGCAAGAGAAACGACGGGGGGATGGGGAGAGAAAGGATGGGGTGGGGGGGGGGGGGGAAAGAGAGAAAAAAAAAAAAAGGAAAAGAAATGGACGCCCGCCCGCTATGAAGGTGCGTGTTCCCTGCCGAGGGTGCGCATGCGCCGGAGTCTGCAGCCCGTGCAGCTGGGCGTATATGCATCTCTGCACCCCCCCGCCCCATTTGCAGAATGGCATCGACGAAGCCTAGAACATTTTCTACGTGACATAGAAGGAAAGGGTAGCAGGATGGGCTGCACCATTGAAGAGCGGGAGGGGGGGGAGGAGAGAGAGAGAAAAAAAGAAAAACTCCCTTTAGGTTTTTTTTTTTTTTTCCCAATGGTCTTCCAGGTGTGGGTGGAAATACGGAAAAAGCGATCTATTGCCGCGTTGGGAAGGGGGGGGGGGAAAGAAAAGATTTTCCTTGAGCTAATTTTTCAAGGTTTGGTGGGGAGGAGGAGGGGGGGGCTGGAATTAACAACGCGCTCTGCAATGCCCTAACGGTATTGGCAAATCGATGGGGTAGGATTAGCACATTTCAGTTTTCGCAGGCACCGGATCCCTCTCCTTGGTATCACCCCTGAAAAGGAGCAGCGCAGGGGAGTCTTTTTCCCACCCACCCCCCCAACTCCCACCCCCATCAGTTTGCTGCCGAAAATTAAGCCGTTTTTAAAAAAAAAAAATAGTAAAAAAAAAACAAAACCCCTTACACGTCCGGGTTTCGTAACACGAACATGAAATAATGCACAGGATCCCAACCCTTTCTGGACAACATTTAATAAAAGCATTTCTTTAAAAAAAAGAAAAAGAAAAAAAAAACCCTTCAATATCCCTACTGCTGAACAACTTTGAGGAATTGAATGCTATGAGAAAGCTAAGAGAACACCTAGCCTGAAATCTTGGGATTGACATTACCTTAATGGCATAAAGATGCTGTAGCATGGAAGCTGGTGGCGTTACCTATGGATGGTGCCATTGCAACATGCAGTGGTTGTGTGTCAGGGAAGCTTTTGGAAATAACTAGTGCATCTGGACCAGAGGACTTATATATATATATATATATTTAAAAAAGGCAAAAAAAAAAAAAGCTATTCTTTTTTTACAATTCTTTGGCTACTTACAAAACTGGGGATGCTACTTCTGAGGTTTTGTTCACTTTGCTAGTTTATTACAGAAACCCTAGAATTTACAGCTCTCCCTCTTCACACTGTTCTTCATTCCTGAAATTAAACTGCATGTCCAGGTTTCTTTCCTCTTTTAAGATAGTAAATGTTTTGAATTATAAATGGTCAAGCAGCTATCACATGCAGTACAGTATCGACCTCATCAACTCTGAAAATCTGTTAAGGGTTAACAATAATCAGCAAGGACCAACAGATATGATTTGTAATTCCCATAAATCTGGGATTTGTTTTCCAGAAAAATTCTATATGTCACTTTTTTTAAAAAAAGGAGCTACTTTTTGTAAGGCTTTTATAGTATTAACAGTTCCTCCTACATTCCAATTTGGCTTTCTTCCCCACCTTATTATCAATTTGAATGTTAATCTGAACTGTTCCTGAATCCAAGGCACTGGGATTTTATTTTTATTTTTTTGGGAAGGCTTTAATTGGAGATGAGAGTCAGCTTGGCGTTTAAAGGCATCTATCTAGAAACCAAGAGATCATGAATTCTTCTGCCTCAGACATGAAGCAGCTCGGGTGATTTTGGGCCAGTCAGTCTTCTCTCTGCCTCAGAAAGAAGACAATGGCAAGCCATTTCTAAACAACGTTGCCAAGAACACTGCAGAGATCTGCCCATGTAGCTGCCAAGAAAAATAAACAAATCTGAAAATGGTCAACCAAAAATCAAAATGGAAATAAATCACCTTAACATCTAATGGGCAACACTTGTATACACATTTCACTAATCTACTTTAACATCGTTTTATGATGGGAGGTGTTTTAATACTTCACATACACAGTATTTTAAAATGGTGGATGCAGATACTGGGCAGGATGTAAGCATAGTTAATGAAAGAGTAGGGCTAGAGTTCCTTGAATCAGTCTGATTTGTTAATTTTTGCAAGTGAGTCTTGCCTCACCCTCAAAACTACAAACAATCTAGCAGGTCTCTATATTACTGATTTTAATAAAAAATGTACACATTTCAGAATGCCACGGAACATAGATGCAGTACAGCATCTTAAGACTGTTGAGTCCCAGGCAGTAGCAAGAATCCTGACATAAAAAGAAGTAAGAAAAGTCCTTTTGCCCCTATAGCAACAGGCATCAATTATTTATGTGTTTTGCTTCTTCGGTTTAGGTGGTGGCCTGTAAGAGAAGGAAGATTAGATTAATTTTTTTTAACGTTTATTAGCAAAATAGAAAGGAGAGCATGTTACCTGAATTGGAAATATACAGGGACACCTCAATCCTTTGTATGTGGCAAAACTATCCAATGTACAATTCAATATTTTCAGGCTTTGCCTACAGAACTTTTAATAAAAGTCTTCATTCATAAAAGTCTATTTGAATTCCAAAGTTTTATACAGATTCAGAGGTAATCTTTGAACAACTATCCCAGCATCAGACTTTGCTGTAGCTGCAAAGAAAGACTCGGAGATATGACAGTAATAGTAGACCAGGAGGCAGGAGATAGTCCAACAGGGAGCCAGAAAAAAAAATGCCCAAGCTTATCTCAACTTTGAATGAATAAATGGCCTTAGGCCAGGACATGCCTTTGATTCACCCAATGTCGCATTGTCAAGAATAACTGCATGCACTATATGCCAAGTCTCAGATTATGCCTTTCTTGACATCATTCAATGAAAGGGATTAACAAAAAAGGCACTTGGAGAGATATTTCTCTTCAATCCATACAATACTAGATTAGATGGAGAAGAAATGCTATTATTCGGAACAAGGTTGACATAGGGATTACAGGTTTGAAGGTTAGATGAGTTAATGGATATTCTGAATGTCTATGGAGATTCTCAATCATCCAGGTCATGGTTGTCCCAAAGGCAATTTTTCAAGAGGCAACTGGACTTTCTGGTTTTTCTTTGAAGACGTTTTGCTTCTCATCCAAAAAGCTTCTTCAGCTCTTTTGGATGAAAAGCAAAATGTCTTCAAAGAAAAACTAAAAAGTCCAGTTGCCTCTTGAAAAAGCACCCTTGGGACGATACTTTGAATGATTCTGGGTAAGCAAGGGCATTGTAGCTGCTGTTGTTGGAGGGTGGGTAAGATGGACGAACAGATCATATTTTACTGGCAATCTAAATACTACCTTCCCAAGTCCCGGGAAGCAATCAGAATTCCACCAGAGGCCTCTGGTTTCCCCATACCTGTATATGCCAACCACCACCGCATGATCTCGCTCATATGGCTCCAAAGTCAGTTGTTCCTGGGGTTTCATGTTTTCCTGCTGCATTTTCTTTACTTCTGATGCAAAAACTGCTTCAGGGGCTGCTGTTGAATCAATACAGTTGGCCTGGAAGACAGGGGAACGGATAAGCACACCAAATCCTCAACTAGATTAGGGGACACCTTACCATTCCCATCAAATATAGGAATACAAAGCAGGGATCACTATCAACGATCATACCGTAAGATGTTTCCCTATTGGCCCAAGATTCTACAGCCAGAAAAAATAAAACTTAAATCACGATTAAAGCCTTACTTTGATGGAGATAACAAAATGACCACCGTTCTTCAAAAAGTTGTGTGCATTTAAGGCAACAATACGTGACTGATCAGGCTGAGCCACATCTGCGAAAATAACATCCACCATGCCTGCAAAGAGAACATGTATATCAGAACATCTACAGGCTATATGCAAAGCCTTTAATGTATAACTTATGTTACAATTAATATGTAATCATATACCTTATTATTAATCTTAGTATTTCTCAACCGTGGCAACTTTACAATGGGTGAACTTCAACTGTCAGAATTCAGTTCTGGTATGGTACCAGAACTGAATTCAAATTTGAATTTCAAATTCAAAGCAGAATGGTACTGAGGATTAGAAGAACTGACTTTATTACAACACCCACCCAGATTGAGGAAGTTGTAGGTCAACCTTGAAAAGTGTAGGCAGTTAAGCTAAGTGGATGCCAACAATGAAGATACAAAATTTTACGTATCCGCAAAACACAGCTTAGGCACTGAACATCCTGGAACATTTTGTTCTGAGAAAAACAGGTCTTGAAGATTCCTACTGCTTTCTTATATTCTTAAAATTCTGCTATTCCTTTGGTTTAAGGCGTAGGATAGAGCACAGGTGGGCAACTAAGGCAATTTTATGACCTGTGGACTTCAACTCCCAGAATGATGGCTCAGGAATTCTGGGAGTTGAAATCCACAGGTCATAGAGTTTCCATAGTTGCTCCACCCCTATCTCCACCCCAAAACCCGGAATAGAAGGAGAAAGTAATACAGGAATTCCCCTCCAAGAAACTCTTAAATTAGCACAAATTGGGCAGGAATCATAATTTTACATCTCTTACCAATCAGCATGCGATATTTGTGTGGGTGTCGTGCATCCTCAATGACAGGAATGATGTTGGTCCGTTTTTTTGCTACATTGATGAGGTCACGACCTGAGCGATGGGAGAACTCCACAGCATACACAAGCCCTTCCTGTTTAACCAGAAACAGGAAGGAAGGAGAATCGGTGCCTTGCTTGGCTACATATATACATATATAGAGGCTAGCAGACAAAGAAAGTATTCATATGTTTGGGAGTGCTATTAAATGAAACTATTTAAAAGTTAATTATTTAGAAGAGTAATGATCAATCTTGTGCAAGTAAGTCTTCTCTGTGTGGCTTCCCTTGATCTTTTTCTTTAGCTAAGTATTATTTTAATAGAGATGTATGGCTCATCCTCACTATTATATTTATTTGATTCAGTATTACGGTAGATTTTTATCCCACCTTTACAGCATTATTTTATAAGT